AAACATCCGCAATTGCAACGTTGCCTACCCTTCATTGACGGAGACGCACATAAAGAGGATATTTCCCCTTCCTATGTATCTCCTCCATCAAATCCACTTTCCCTTCCCATCCTTATAAGAGGGTAGTAAAAAGAAAGGGACTTAAATTAGTCCTCCGGCACCATACTCATCAGACTGTACACGGAATTGCTTCTTTTTGACGCCTGTCTTGTGTGGTCGTGGTATTTCTGGGGACGAACCCTGCAGTGGTAAGATATTAAAGCGGGCTCTACCACTGTTGCCTATCAGCCATAACGTAGATTTTTAGTGGTGAAAGAATTTTTGAAATCGGCCCAGTAAGAGTTATTTCAATATATACAAAAATACAAATATAAAAACATGTCCTCTTTATAATATTAGTATAGATATAAATATGCCCATTGACGTCAAGTGGGGAGGTAAGTCGCCTTAGTCGCCTCAGTAAGTCAGAAATTGTACAATGTATGTAATTTGCAGTGTTTAAGAATTTATCTGTAAAGAAATGCAAATATGTAAGAAGGCAATACGAAGTAGACCAACCTTGACTAAAGCATAGATCTAACTTTATTAATGGCCAGTTTCCTAACTACATTTAACCTTTCGTTAGTTTTTGTTTCGATTCATGAAATACGTTTCTAAACTACATAACTTGAGTTTTACTCCTCTGAAATTCCAGTCAACCTAAGAAATAAATTGAAACTTCAGACACCTAACATAAGTAACTTTTTATTATAATATTAAGTTTCAAAAATGATGATGTAATTTAAATAAAAACACTACAGTGCTTACAATTCTAGTATATCCAGGATTTTAGTACTAGATCCCCTTGACCAATTGATCCCCCCCTAACCATCAGCCTACTCCCCCTAGAAGGTCCCCTGGCGAGTACTGACCGGGGCCGCAGGGGCGGATGCAGACGCGCTGGTCGCTGAGGAGCGGCGCGCGCTGGTGCTTGCTCATGCGCTTGTTGACGGGGTCGAAGCCGCCGCCCTGCGTCGGGAACATCAGGTACAAGCACTGCGAGTCCGTGAACGCTAGGTCCTGTACACGAGCAATTAGCTTTAAAAAAAAAAGAAGTCTATGTATTCTTCGATCTACATCGACAAGTGGATTTGACGCTAGAATTACACATAAGAAGGAGAAATATCCTCTTTATGTGTCTCCATCGATTAAGGTTAGGCGCCGCATTTACAATTGCTGATCTTTGGGCAGTCGCTTCGCCATTTCGGCGGATTCAGATGGTCGCTTGCTCCTTTTGCAACTTATAGTATAAAAAAAATTGTGTCAAATTGAATCGAGATGCTTTTAGTTTAGGCTAAAAACTCTAACAACCTCCGTTTAAACTTTCGCATTTATAACATTAATAAGATTGGGGGGTACAATTGGAAGTAAACGCAAGATCCCTTCCAAATTGAAAAAAAATAATGAAGAAAATTAATTAAAAAAAAACAGAGGAAATACATATTGAGAAAAAAACACTTGCAAATGGGTACTTATTTGACTAACCACATGATCACTTAACAGGTGGAATCGTAGTCAAGCACTAGTTTATACATCATAGAAATGTATAAGAAATCTCTTCATACAAGAGTCTGTCGACGGATGTCAGAAAGTTCTGTTGTAATTGTCTAACCTGGCTATCTCCCGTGTCCCGTTTCCTGACGAAGGAGATGGTGGTGAAGCCGTCCTGCAGCAGCGCGCTGCTGTGCG